AAAAAACTGGGAAAGGGATTAATTAGGCCCTAGCAGTTAAACTCATAGATTGAAAGTACAGTAAATGTACAAAGTAATGGTTTTTTTTTCATAGTTACACAAAATCTAAATTTATAATTAAAAACGAATGGATGAATTCAGTGCTGAGATAGACAGATAGATAGATAGACAGATAGATGGATAGATAGATAGACAGATAGATAGATAGATAGCTTTGCTTGGAAAAGCAATCTGCTCAAATGCAATTGACTTTATAAATTTGATTAATTTTGTGTATTTGTAATTTTTATTGTGCATAGTGGTTTATGCTCACTTTAATTATACAACGTTATATGTCATTGAATACGCTGTTGTGACGCTTCGAGATAAAATTATTTCAGTGCTTTTGTCTGGCTAACGCATTCAATTTGCTTTTATTTCTCCACATTAATTTGAATTGCGAACAATTTTTGTTTTTGAGTAATAAAAATCAATTTTGCAGCGAATTTAAACAGATAAATGTAAATTTTCATTTCTATTTCATTCAGTGCAAATGTTTTTAGTACGAAAAAAGTTGAAAGAATTTTGTCTGATTGCATTATTTTTGCACTAATTGTTTCATTGTGTGCAATAAATATTTTCTGAGTTAAAGTGAGTAAATTTGACGATTGATAAGTTTAATTAGATGAAAATGGTCGTGAATAAAAGGTTTGGGAAATTTTTTTAGTATTTTTATTATTAAATAAATTAAACAGCTCAAAGTTAAGTTAAGTGAAAAACAAATTTAAAAAATTTCATCAAATTTGAAATTAAGTTGTTTTAAGTACTTGTTTACTACTAAAAGTACTAATAGTAATTACTAATAAACCGCTTTTGCTATCACTTAGTTACTGTTTACTATTTACATATTTAAAACATTTTTTATACGTTCTCAAACTTTTGTTCTGTTTTTAAATGAATTTAATTATAGAAAAAAAAATACTATCGGGAATGAAATAAAAAAGAAACAAAGTTTGAGAATTATTTTGTCTGAAGTGAAGTCAATGTAATATTAGCTTTATAAAATACTGATAATTTGCATTTCCAATAGTCTTTTTAGCATTATAAAAAAGTTAACTATATTTTTACTCAGATAATTTTTGTACTTTTTAGTATTCAAATGAATTTTTCCGTAAGACTAATTATTATCAAATTAATATTTCGCTGTAAATAACTTTAAAATATGATCATTGATACGGTATTAAATTGTTTTGTTTTAGCTATTTTTTGAAAGGATATGCAACAATGACAACTTTTTTTTAATCTTTGAACACTTATGGGCACGTATATACCGAAGCTAATTAAACTCTCACTGCTGTTGTTATTATTAAATAAATTCTTTTCTTTCAGAAGTTTTATTTTTTGCGTTATTTTCAAGCTTCAAAAATTGATTACAGTGAAGGATTTGCTTTAACAATGGAAGAAATGATTGATAGAATTCTCTAGCATTAAAATGCACAACTCGATTTAACGAGTTTGCGACAAAAATTTACTATTTCTCCTCCAACTTCAAAAATCATACAAAATCCGAAAAAAAATCACTCTCCACTATTATTCATCCATGCTAGTGATAACATCTAATGCAAAAAATGCTAAAATTGTATTTTTTCAACTTTTTTAGTTTGTAATAATTAAGTTTCTCAGCCATTTTTGCATTATATAATTGCAGTACTCATTAATTCTTCATTATGCATATGTATTTATGATGTTTGAATGAAAATATCCGTGTGAACTTCTGTGTACTGCAAACTTGTTTTGTTTGTTTATTTGTTTTTTCTTTCATTTTTTTGGTTTTGTTAAAAGTTATACTAGTCGAATTAAAATCGAAAATTGAGAGATTAATAAAATATCGTTCATCATGTGATGATCAAAAATCATGAATCAATTACGATGGAAAACTGCCAAATCAAAAGTTGTTTGTTTATTATTAAGTATTTTAAGTATTTTTTATTATTTTTTTACTTATGAAAATTTTGTAAAAAACGCTAATGGACACATATGAAATCACTCCAAAAACCAGAAATAAATCTAAATTATGCTTAAATAGCAATCAGTGTTATAATAATAACAATGATAATAATAATAATAATAATAATAATAATGATAATAATAACAGTAATTGCAGTTTTTTTTTTGGTTTATTAATATTTTACAGACATTATATGTAACTCAAGAAGCTAACAGGACTGAACTTCCTCTAAATTTTTCGATCAGTCAGAAATACCGAATTCCATTAAGAATAATTTCAGTGCAAATGACAAAAGAGTCAAAGAGTATGGCAATGACTGTATAGTTACAAGCAAAAAAGTACTATCCATCAATTGAACGCCACGTTTGTCCTGTAATTTTGATTTATGAAAGTTAATGAATTTAAATAAAAAAATTGAAATAAAAAATTTGACAAGAGTATTGATTGTAATTACTGCAAAAAAAGTATTAAAAAGTACTTCTGAGTATTTCTGAAGAAGTTTTTGGCTTCAGAAGAATTTCCCGATATTAATTATTCTTCACTGAATATTCTAAAAAACACACTCAAAATTTGATAGCTAATTAAGTCAATATCGTTAACTAATTCAGCAATAACAATTTTTATATGTTATTTTAGGTTACATTTATAAGGACTTTTTTCTTCTCAATATTATTATTATCTTCACAACTAATAATATTAAGTAATAATAATAATAATAATAATATTATTATTATTATTGTCATTATTATTATTCCGAAAGTTCGATCTCTGCATACTCATATGTTATATGCATAGCTTGATTAGTACTTTTTGATAACAAACAAACTGACATAAAAATGCAAAGGATGAAAGAAGTTAGATTAACGGCTCGATTATCTGAACATTTGGGATTAGAAATTAATTGATCTTCGAATAATTGCTTGAAAATTTTAATTTACAAGCTTTACTTCAAATATATTTTCAAGAAATTTCGTTTAAAATTTCAAAGTGTGAAATTGAGTAATTTATATTTTCATCAATTTCAATAATTTTTTTTCATTAACATTATTAACTTGTTCTTTTGAGTCGGAATTTCGGTGTAATGTATAAAATTGCATATTTTATTTTCATTCTATTTTTGCATAAATTATTGCAGACTCTCTGAAATCCGAGCGTGAAGTCATGACTGCTTCGAGTATGCTTTTTAAACTGAGAATCATTGAAAAAATTTAACTTAAAGATTTATTATTTTTACTGGAATTCATCAAAAATTTTTCACAATTCCTATTATGAATTGTTTTTTTCATTCGAATGCTTCTATATCGAACTTTTACTTAAAGTTAAAAATGCCCTAAAATACTTGAATATCAACTTCTAAAATCCTCAAATTTCTGAACTCAAAATTCACTGCACCAAATTTTCAGCATTTGGTAGAATTATTAATTGATTTCAGAGATAAATTTCTGAAGTCTATGCAGAAATGATAGAAGCAGTACTTATCAAAGATTTTGTCGATTAAACTTTGTTTGAGATTGACAGTTGCGCAAGTGCATATTAGTATATGTGTCAATCTTCAATAATATTAAAAATTTTCAATTAATTTAAATCACATAATTGAAATTTTTTGTTCAACAATATATTTGTAAGGTTCAACTTCTTCACATTTTGCAATAATAGTTATTTTTGAATGATTAAATAGTTTGATGAATGTTATTGCTTGCACTTATTCGAATTTGATTTATAATTTGCTAACAAATTTGAAATTTTTACCAAAAATCACTGAAAACTGCATTCTTGTCAGGTTAATTATAAAGTATAAATCAGTGAGTAGTAAAATTATTGACTCATAGGTGATTTTTGGTATGAGAATTTCGTTTGATCTAAAATGATTGCATTTTTTTTTTTTAAAAAGAAATCACAATTTTTGTAAAAAATTTTCTACAAAGATCAACAAGATAAACTTTCAAATATTTGGCATTTCAAGAATATCAAAAGTGACTTTGATCACACTTTTCATCAGTTACACATCTCACTCAACGATCAGATATTTCCACTTTCAGTTCATTTTCTTTTCTTTTTGCTAAAAGTCTTTTGAGTTCAACTAATTAATTATAATTATTTGTAGTTTGACATGAAATTGGCACTGAAAAATTAATACTTTTGATTGTCCAAATTTACCATTCAGAAATTTGAATTGTTGCAAATGTCATCTTAAAAAGCGCAACTGGCGGGCATACATTTTTGTACATTTCAGAAGTGCTCGCAAATTTTTACCATTCCGTTACTCTTTGCCAGTTGGATGATTAAACGAGCAATTTGCTTTCAATATGTATTTATTGTTATTATTGGCATTAATGAATGAGTCAACGAGAGTTTTTCAAAAACTACACTACACTATTTAGTAGTACTTTTTGCAAAGAAAGTCTGCTTGCAAAAAGTCTTCTTCACTATTCTGTTGCTGCTGCAAAGAATAAAATCAAAAAATATGAATATCATAAATTGAATATTAAAATAATTATGCAAAAAACAGTAATGAATTTTTATTGCAAAGATAATAATTTAATGAACTTTGAATGAAAAAGAAATATTTCGAATATAATTGAAGTACTCAATAAGAGGACTTATTTTTTGAAAAGTGTATGCAATTATCACTATTTTTTTTCATTTTTTTTGCACAATTACTAATATTTAAAAAGAATTCATTTATACATTATACAAGAATTAATTACTATATAAAATTAGTATATAAGAAGGAAAATATAGTGGAATGTTGTTATGTCTGCAATCACTTAAATATTTAATACGGTGAAATGAGAAAATAAGAGCGATAATTGAATTAAAAGCAATTAATTACTGCCAAGTGAGAGTAAAACGTAATCGAAATGTTTTAATACAATAATACTTACTTGTGATATAAAACAGCCGTTTAAAGTATCAACCGTGCCGATTACTTTTCTCGTAAACGCTTACATTTGACACTTTTTCGTTGCAATGCCATTTAATGATGCAAACATTTTTTGACTGAGATTACTTTTTCAGTACTTTGTGCTGCTACTTACAATACTTAACAATTATTATTTTAATTAAGCAAAAGTATTTTCATAAATAAATTTTTTTATTATGCAATAATCTGTTCATTTTTTTAACATAATAATTTAATTATACCACAAGTTATGCAAATCATAGTACGCAACTTATTCATATTCTTATCGTTATTATCACTTCATCATAATCATTATTATTATTAGCATTTATAATTTTAACAGCAATATGATCTTTACTGATTACTAATATTTTGACTATTTAATGCAAAGAATTTTTTATTCACTATACTTATCGCTTTTTATCATTGTTTATTTTCAGTACTATTTCATAGCTCTGCAATATATGTTATAAATAATTTTACACGTTATACAGCAACATATAATTATTACAATACCTTCTTTTTACTTTACTTTATAACTTATTATTATATGTCGTACTTTATTACTTATTATTATATTATTAGTACATTTATAATATATAATGTATTAATGTATTAGTGACTACTTTACTGTAGTAATTATCATCACGACACAATTACTCTACTGTTAAAATACTATTTTTATATCAATATTCTTAAATATCTTGTTATTGTTGTTTATTATTATTATTATTATTATTATTATTATTATTATTATTATTATTATCATTTATGTTATTATTATTATTATTATTATTACTATTATTATTATTATTATTATGTGCATTACAAATATTATTTGCTATTTACTAGCTTGTAATTACACAAGTTCAAAATCATTATTTTATCTATCATTTCACTTTGCTCCAATTATGTGATACTTTGGACATCAGAATAATGTTTGTTGCACTACGTACTGTCACATACTATTCATCAACTTATATATATAATCATTAAAATATAATTGTCTATATATTATGACAACACGTAAAAAATCTGCCATCATTGTCACAATTATCATAATAATTATCAAAATATACTTTGCATTAAAGTTGCAAAAGATTTTGATTAGTGAATGGATTTCAAGTTTGTTATAAGTGTACTATTATCACTTAAATCTTCAAAGTGATTAGTTAATTGAAAGTGAAACAATAAATTTTTAAACATAAATAATTTTAGAATAAAAAATTTATTTATTTATTTATTCATTTCACTCAAAAAACTTCAGCAGAACATTTAAGATTACAGAAATGATAATAAAATTCACTTTTTATTCATTTCGTTTTTCTTCTCACAATAATAAACTTTATTCTCTAAAAAAGTGTTCATTTAATTAAATTAAAAAATTCCACAATTTTGGAACATTCCTTTGTGATGACTGTTAGGAAGAGAATGCAATTTGTCTTTGTCATCAATGAGATTTTTTATCACTAAAATTTTTTGATAGTATTCAAAATACTTTCTACTACTTACAAGCAAGTACAAGTATAACAATAACAATAATAACAACAAACAACATCTCTAGCACCACTGCCAGCACTATTTGTGTGATTACTATCCTTCTTGTTTTCATAATTTAAATTTCTTGTTTTGCTTACATTATTTATTATTCATAATGCCTTTCTAAATTTGATTTGCTTGTAAGAGTCAAAATTATTTTTGTTAACTTTAGAAAAAATTCAAATACTTGTCAAAGAAAGAAAAAATTATATGAAAAGTTCCGTAATGCATATAAAACTGGTTGAAAATTATTTTAAAGAGGAAAAGAAATCAAATACATTTGCATGTTATTTTATTTATTGCATAATTTTCTTAAAAATTTTTGCCATTTTTGAATTTCATTTATGCTACACTTGTGAGACTTTTATTAATTTTTTATTTTTTTTAAAAAAGTTAATTAAAACAGCAAGTTATTTATACGTATAAATACTCTCTTTGCATGCGTTAATTCTCAAGAAGTTGCGCAGTAAATGCCAACTGATTTTGTTATTTTTGATCAAATGACTAAATTTGATCAAAACTTTTAAACTAAATTAATGTATTTTGGATCAGTCTTATTTTATCTATCTTTCCCATCCATTGCACTGATCTTTAAAAAAGATTTTTATTTCAACACAATGAAAATATTTTAAAAGGTAGTCTTAATTAAAGTTACTAATAAATACAAAATGTTAATATTTTCAGTGTCAGAAATTAGTGCAAAGACTCTGATTTCTCCAACGATTTCATTGCACTGATATGGCTGCAAAAATGTTTATGTTATTTTCAATAACGACGAGTACAATACTTACGGGAATGGCTGTATTAGCTGTGTTAAGACTAATTAGTGATATCAATGATTTGTATAGCGGAGTTATGGATGAGTTAACTGATTTTAAGGTTGCATTTGCTTTTTGAGTCATTTATTTTAGCCAAACTTGAAGTCAACTTCCATACTTTAATTAAAAATTTATTCTTTTTGTAGTAATTCAAAAAGCAGTTTTAAATTTATTTCAAATTAAATGGCTGCTAAAAAGAAGTTTGCTTATAAAAGCAAGCATGTTCTCACAATTTGTTCAAAATTGGTAGAGTATACTTTTTGAAAATTTCAATCTTGAATGCAAACTTTATTAGAAAAATATAATCCTATTTAACACATTACTACCAATTTATGGATAATATCATGTAGAAAATGAGCAGCAGTAATGGAAAACGTTACTTGTAGTATAATTTTGATGAATTTGTAGTGACATAATTGAAAATGTGTCAAATTTAAAGCTGTTTGAAACAGACATTTCTAAATGCCATCTCTATATTTTACTATCGAAGTCAATGATATAGGAAAAAAATTAGAGTTCAATGAATATGTACAATTATTTTTGATTCTACGCAAAGTTTCCATTTTTAAAAGAGCAAAAAACAGGGAATCGCAGATGGTACGTGGAATAGAATTTTATTCATTCGATCAAATGCGTTTGATAGAAAAAAAGAATATTCTGATACTTTTGCAAGTTTCATTGCGCGAGTTAAGCGACAATTTCCACCACACTGTCGTAAGCTTTTGCAAATTGTGTAGAATTTTTACTGAAAGTACTATTTGGTACTTCAAGAAATGGCTAAATTAAAAGTTTTGAAGTGGTAAAAAGCAAAAATATATTTAGAGTGCAGTGCACCACCTGACCAATGTCCTCGAGGTCCTCCTGGTCCTCAAGGTGAGCCAGGCTTGAAAGGTCTTGATGGACCTGATGGAGAAGATGGTATTCGAGGTGTGCCTGGTGTGGCACTGTTGGCAACATTCAATATTCCTGGTGGATGTATTGAGTGCCCTCCAGGACCACCAGGACCACCTGGTCCACCTGGTGTAGCGGGTATCATCGGTGTACCTGGAGATTGCGCTAGAAGAGGAAAAGCAGGTAAACCTGGTCTACCTGGACCCAAAGGACCTGTAGGTCAGCCAGGAAATAAGGGGCCAGATGGTAAACGTGGTGAAGCAGGCCGACCCGGTAGAAATGGTAAGAAAGGTGTTGGAGCGCCTGGACCACCAGGTCCAATTGGACCAAGAGGAAAAGTTGGAGAACCAGGACTAAATGGAGCAAAAGGAGACATTGGTGCAACGGGAGAAGCTGGACTACCAGGTGCACCTGGAAAAGATGGAAAGCGAGGAAAAGATGGCAAGACTGGTCTAGTAAGTTCTCATTGTTATAACTCTGAAAGAAATTTTCAAAACTCGCAGCTTTGATTGTATGACAATAATGACTAATAATTTCAGATTGGCAGCCCGGGTGTGCCCGGACCAGATGCCCATTACTGCCCCTGTCCACTACGTACAATTCCAGTGAATAATTTATGAAAGTGACCAGCCTCACTTTGCTCGCTACTCTCACACGTCCTAATTGAATCTTGCAGATATTTTGCTGTTGTATTGATAATTTTTACAATGTTTTGTTACTGTAATAAAAGTGCTATAAAATTAATACTAATATTCTATTCTTTTAACATATTAGTATCAAGTATAGGATGCTTTCTGATCAAGTGTGAACACATGGTCAGAAAGATTATGATGCATTTCATGCATGCTAATTACAATCTTTTAAGAACAATATTTTGAGTTGTATAAAAAATGATACAATCAAAAATACTGCGTATAATTGATGAAAACACTTTTTGAAAACAATATTTTTAGATTAAAAAAAATAGAAAAAGATATAATTGTTATAATTAGCGTGTTATGAATTTAAATACAAGAAAATGGTAGCAAAAAAGAATGAAACGAATCAGCACACCTGAAATACCGAGAAATGACAAAAACGATAATGTGCTTGGAAATGTTTGATATTTGAGATTTCGTTCATAAATTTTAGCTTTTTCCATGTTGTATTTTAAATTGTTTTTAAAAATTTGTGCTTGAGAATTTCATTTGATTATTTGATATTCTTGAGTTATTTTGAACTGAAATCTTTATTATTTCAAACTATTTTTTCACAAAAAAAGTTTTTTAAAAATTTTTTCCTCAATAAAAATTTAATCTTATGACTAGCAAACAAAAGAAAACATAAATATTTCAGAAGAAAGATTTAATGTATAAAAGGAATGCATAGAACCATTTTTCTTAATTTCACATTTTACTGATCAATTCCATTTTCAAATTAAAATTAGCGAAAAATAACAATGCCACAAATATTTGAACTGAAATAAACTAACATATAAAGTTTGAAAATAATTATTAATTATTGCATTTCAATAAACAAAGTGAAATTATGATAAAATTTACATTTTTGTAAGAGAAAAATATCGCTTTGTGATATGAAATTTTGCATTTAAAAGATAGCAATTTGGATTAATTAAAACAGATAAAAATATATATGAAATGAGAATTTGAGTGAAACACTGTAAAAAGAATAGTGTTTACTTTACAAAAATCAAGCAAACCATTAAAGCATAAACTTATCGTAGCAAAATACTAAAATACTATTATATGGAAGTAATTCATTAATGAATTAAGCTTCTTCTATCTGTTAAATTGAAGTTGTCAACAACGCTTGCATAAGCTGTAATCATTCCTGAAACTCATTTAACTGACTGAATTATAATGAATATCTTGTATTTATGAAAAATTTTTCATGTAAATGTCACCTGCAAAACAAAATTATCACTGTTATTGATGTTTTTACTATGATTATCATCACTTTTATTCTTATTTTCTCTATTAAGATTAAAGTTATTTATTATTATTTATCATTATAATTTATTACTATCACTGTCTTTATTATTATGTTATCAAGTATGTTTTTCGCTTTATTTAGTATTTTGCTACGATAAAAATCCATCAAGATTTGTAAATCTTGATGGATTTTTTAATAGTACTAAAGATTAACTGCTCATTTTATTTCTGAAAACAATTCCACATAACTAATATCCGAAAAATCATTTTGCCACTTGCACAGTTACGATTAAACGCTTAATTAATGATCAGTTAGGCAAATTTTGAAACTGCATACAAAAAAATTGGTTATTCAGAATGCTAACTTTTGTATTTTATATTGTTTGGTGTTAAATGAGATGAAATAATTAATTAACTAAGTAATAATGAATACTTCATATTCCCTCGTGGTATCTCTGTTACTATCAACTTTATGAAAGCTTTTCATTACTGTATCACCTTGTGTTCTCATTTCATTCATTTATTGTATTACACAATTCTTCATGCATTTTAAACAAAATATATACGCAACGCAATCCATACTTTATTTGCCAAAAATTTCAGAGTTTTCAAACAATGAAATTCATGAAAAACAGAGAAGAAGTTTATATTATGCCATGAAAGTTTCAGTTCTATCTGATACAAAATTAGATAAACTTCCCACACGTTTTAGCGTTACGGCACGATTTAAAAGTGTAGCAGTCAGTCGTTGTGATCAGTCAGATGCTTTCAAATACAAGCCTT